TTCCACTAGGTGCTTCCTTATTATTTGGTCCTCCATTTTTTAATTAAGGTTATATCAGACCCTTATTATTTGGGTAAAAACCAACATTTAATCTTTTACCTTACAAAATTGATAGTTTTTAGCCCTTCATCTTATAATACGACACTCCTAGCCCTTTACCTTACAAATTTGGTAGATTTTAACCCCTTACCTTACAAAGTTAATAAGTTTTAACCCCTCATTTTATATTATGATATTTTTAACCCCTCACCTATACGAATTGAAGAAAATAACTCTCACATAATATTAAGTTATAACATTCTATTGGTTCTGTTAACTAACTGTTAACATCCGTTAGTATTTCATTATAAAAAACATAAAATTTAAATTTAATTTTATTTGTTAGTTCTATTAACAGAATACTAACGAATGCTAACAATCAATTAACAGAACATTATAATCTAATGTTAAATAAGAGCTATTTTTTTCAATTCGTATAGATAAGGGGCTAAAAGTGTCATAATATAAGATGAGGAGCTAAAATCTACTAATTTTGTAAGGTGATGGGTTTAAACCTCCTAATTTTGTAAAGTAAAGGGTTAAAAGTGTCATATTATAAGGTTATGGGTTAAAACTTACCAATTTTGTAAGGTGAGGGGCTCAAGTTGGTTTTAACCTTTTATTTGACCCCCTTTTTTTAATTAATGTTATATTAGAGAATTGTTATTTTTGAATTAATTTGTACACGTTAAATTAAAAGGTTATTTGAATTAGCTGCTTGAATGTAATTAATAGTTAATAATTAAAATCTAATAATTAATTATTATTGTTGTTTATAATTTATTCAATTAGACTTATCAACTAATAGCCATTTGTAAACCCACAAATCAAACACAAATCAAACACCCCTGAGATACTATTAATGTGATCATAAGGTGGTAACTACTAGTTAACTCTTTTTCTTTCTTTTTTTTTTAAATGTGATATTTAGCCTTAAGAATAGTAAGTACATATCTTAATGGAATGTAATTCCTTTTAGCTTAGCACAGAAGTATTATTATCTATAATAAGATCATGAGATATCAATATTTGTGATACCTTAGTTTAATTGATATTATAATTAAGGAGATCCAAATGAGCATCAACATAAAAATATATTTAAAATTTCTTATTTTATATTTTATATTTTATATTGTATTAAATTATAGAATAAGAATTGTTGAATAGAAAACAACCCCCATATTAAGGAGTTATCTCTCTCATTTAATAGTTTTTATTGTACAATATGTATTGCAAAACACTTCCCCAATATATTTATGTAAAAAATGTGAAGGTTAACAACTTCCATCAACGTTAATGACATATTCTTTAAAAAAACAAAACCTCAAACAAGTATTATAATAAACAATTAAAGAGTAATGCTCTGTTGATAAATTTTTTATA